CAAATCCAACTCCGTCACTGTGACCAGACCTCCGCGTGGCTATCTGTCATTGTTATACACTCCAGCTACGCCCGAATCCATCAATAGTAAATTGTATCTGAATTTTATATATTAAGTATATAATCACCACCATCAGAAAAGAGATATGATACTTGTCCTATATTAAAATATCTGATTCAAAATTATTTATATCATATACACATTAATTTTCATCAAAATCTTTTAATAGGATTTTATCATTCTGTATAATTTATGATATGCTATCTTCCATACGAAATCTTCCCAAGAGATCATATTCCAGAATAAATCTTCTAAAGATTTAGAATCCTAAATTAAAAACATAACATTATTATTTCTTTTAAATAATAATGAAATAACATTATTTCATCATAAATAATATTTCATTATTCTAATCCAAATTAGAATATCCTTCAGATTTTTCTCATTTTGAAAATAAGAAACTTCCTAAATCGAATGACAACAATTTATATTCATTAGATTTGAACGCTTTCTAATTTAATGAGTTTGGACATCTAAGTTCGTGTTTGCCCATTTTGTGTGCGATCTTGTAGGCTCATACAATGTTAATAGTGGGTTCAAAATACCTTTTGCCACCATAAGTTATAAGTGGCATCTAGCAAGACATTATGGCCACCTAAATCATACAAAAATTGGTGATCCAATATAAGCTGTCTTACAACCAGGTCAAAGTCTTTTTTGTCACACGATATCTAGATTGAGCATGAGACATGGAGACATCACTCTCATATTAGTCAATCATATTTTCTCAAACCTCGAGTAAATTGACAAGACAAATGAAACTCATTTCATTTGAACACGATAATGCATTTCTCAATCATACTCAGTGAGGAGCCTAGAGATTTCTATCACACAATGAGAGGGACAAATCCCATCTTAACCACTCATTTTCTTAAGAGTGACTTTTAATCACGTCAAAACTATGGTGATCTCAAGTACAAGGGCTCAATAACATGCTTATAAAGAGATACAAACCTAGTCCATGTAGTTATGTCATGATGGGTCGATCTATGATACCTTGGTCTCCAACAAGTATTTATGATTTTGATTTTTATCTCCATACATGATCATCAATCAAAATCATACTAGTTTTAATTTATTATTGTGGAAACAATAATAATTGACCAGAGACATTCAGAATAATTCTTTAACTATTCATGGATAATTATTATAAAGAAAACTTGCAAAAACAATATAATAAATAATTTAATAAATCTCCTTCTATTAAATTAAATGAAATGTCTACATCCAATTGATTGGCCTAGGACATAATCCCCAACACTTCTTCTTCTTCATCTTCTTATGACTCTCTTATCATACAGGAAATATTGTTGATGAGTAAAGAGAAATCTAAGCTAGATAAAGCCATGGATAAAATTAAATCCATAATAGGACAAATTGAAGACGAAAAGGATGCCCATGAAGGGGAAGTGCTTTAGCATCACCTCAATCTCTAATCCCTCCAAACTCTCTCACTTGGCTCCATCTATCGTTCAACCATTAACTTAAAAGAAGAAAGATAAGAAAGGAAAAAAACATACAAAAGAAGGGAAAGAAGACAATAGATGGAAATATGAGTGTAGAAAGAAAGGAAAGTAGGAACAAAGTATTTAGAAAAGATACTACCTTGATAGTACTTTAGGAAAGTAAGTACCTTGCAAAAAAAGAACTCAAATTAGGCAAATAGTATGAAAGATAAAGGAAAAGGAACAGGAAACAAAATAAAGAAAGAAAACATGAAGAGAGAAAATAGGAAAGTAGTATGAAAAGGAAAAAAAATCAAAATAGGAAATTAGATAAAAGAAAGGAAAGTAAGAGTCTTACTACCCAACTTAAAAATTTAGAACATTACTTGTGATTTGCAATGAAAGCTCTCTCAAATTAAAAAAAAAAAAACTTGCTTTCAATGTTACAATATTCAAAACCTGCAATTTTTTTGTAATTTTCAGATTTTTTTTTAAATTTTTTAACCTTTTTTCAACACAACAACAGTTTTTTTTCCTACTAAAAAAAAATAAACCAAATCAAATAAACACAAACAATGGGTGGAAGAAAAATGAAGAAATAAAAGTGGATGGAAAGAACAAGGAACGGAGACTAAGCGAGAAGATGGGAACAATGACTACGGAAGCAACAATATAAAAAGAACAAAATACAAAAGGATAGAAATTGAAATCTAGCAAATCAGGCTCTGATGCCACTTGATATGAGGATACGTAACGGATTAGCTAGAAACAAGTATAGGATGGAATGAGATCCTAAGAGAACCTGCTTCTTGTAACCCCAAACACAAGGAACAGACAGACGATCAAAGTATACTTTCAGAGTGTTCTCACAACCCTAGCTATAAAGACACACTCCCTTGATACTTTCAGAGGGTTCTCACAAGAATACGAGAATGCAATCAAAACTCACATAAAGAAAAATAAAATTCTCATATTATTCAAAATTTTCTCTCCTGAATAGAGTACATATGAAAACCTTAATTGATAACCTAAGCCCTAAAAGCCCATTGTAAGCTATTAAAGCCTAAAACCCTAACTAAATAAAATACATAAAAAATAGATACGAAAATACAATAGAATTAGAAAAATCAAAAGACTTTTTAGAATACTCTAACTTTCTAGTCAAGATAGAATAATCTAGATCATATACTACCTAGAAGGATCCCATTATTAATGGGAAGGATCTTACTTGACTATCTACTAATTAATGCAATACAAAATAGGTAAGTCTTTAGCCTTCAAGAACCAATGAATACAAATAGAAAACTATAAAATAGGAAACTACTAATTGATGTCATATAAGATCGCTCTTGATGTTTCTTGAATCTTCTTGGACCTTCCAAATGAATCTTCATAAATGCTATTCACGTTCATAAGCATATCCATTTAGGCTTGAATATGGTTGAATCATGTTCTGGAACTCCCATAGTCCATAACAGAATGCATTTGGGCCCAATATAAAAGATTAGAGCTTCAATGGACTGTTCCATGCGCATACAATTGTGTTGGACCTTCAATAACATGGGATTGGCTTCAAATGCTCCCTTTGGACTCTTAGAACGTGTTCTTGTCTTTCTCAAGATCCAAGTGTCACTACTCCAATAATTAACATGCCATGGTGGATTTCAGGGTGGCTTTACATATGTCACGTCAAGTTCCATATATGTCCATGTCATCCTCCATGTAAGCACTCTCGATCTAGAGATCCACTGAACACTTTGGATAGCTTGTTCGGCTTCAGGACCTCTGTGTGGAATGCCTCTTGGTATATCATGAAAATTCTTAATTTTTTAGGCACCCTCAATGAAGGCTTAATTTACTTATATTAGATGTTTTGAAAAAGGAATATTATATATCCTATCTCTAAAGTGAGTGGGTAAGCCTTGTTCAGGTCATTTCTAAAAAGAGTAGTATCACTAATGTGAAAAATGAGAATAATGAGTTAATACCTACTCGAGTGCAAAATTCATGGCGTGTTTTCAAAGATTCTAGGAAATTAAAAGAGGCCATTGGCTTACTCTTTATTGATCATATACTTGAACATTTAGCTGTAAAATCTCACTACTATTCTTTAGATGGATTTTCAAGATATTTTCATATTCTTGTAGCACTGGAGGACCAAAAAAAGACAAAATTCATGTGCTCCCTTAGCACATATGATTATAGAAGGATATCTTTTGGGCTATTCTCTAGGTGCATTTCAACATTGCATGATTTTCATTTTTTCTGATTTTCTTACTTGTGAAGAGTTGTCGTTTGAATATTCTTGTTTTGAGCAACAATTCACATGCTAATTTTAAGTATAGATATTAATTAAGTAGTTATGACTTATATGTTCACCTAGGATCTATATTTTGACTGAGTATGCTCTTTTTTTTTTTTAATCAACTCCTTTTATCTTTTTGGATCGAGATAGCCACACATCAATCTTTAACAAGCTCATCTTATTAGAAATGTTCTCCTTAGTCTCTTTTAAATTTTTGCTTCCTTCACTTTTTTGCTCACCTAATTTTAAAATCAACCTTCTCTTCTACTTATCTCTCTCTAATCACATAATTCAGCTTAAAAAGAATTCTATAGCCAAGCTTTGACTTTGCAAGAGACCAACCTAGGTAGGGTTAACTTTTATACCATATGGGGTTAATAATAGCAACTAATTTAAAGAGCTGGTAACAAGTGCAATCACGCCCATCTCTCAATTATCTTTGACATTTATAATGCATTTGTAGTGGTTGAGAATAAGAGGAAACAAAACAATCGTGATATGCATTAATGTAGTTTGGCTCTTTTTAATGTCATGTCTAAAAGAATAACATAAATTCATTGAGAAAGATGAAGGAATTGTAAGCTAATACATAATGAAGTTATACCAACTGATTTGCTACAATTGTATTAATAGAACAAAAAATAACACAAGTTGTAATTTAATACTAATTTTTCAGTGTATATCAATTTTATTTGATATTCTCAATGGCCGTACTAAAAAAGCTATTTATGCACGTATACTACTTACCTGTGTTAAAAAGTTGGGACTCGTAACAAAAGATCTTAATTGCAATTAGGGGAGAATTGTTCTCTTAAATATAATTAAGAAATAAAACAAAATTCAAAATATAGAACATAGAACAAATAATAATAATAATAATAATAATAATAAAAAATGTCTAAAACCTTAATTACTTCCCTCATTTGCCATGTGGCATAATAACAATGGCTTATGCCTTAGCAAATATGAAACTTCAATCACGTCACTTCATAAGAAGTGGTTGAATATCTCTCACAATAGTAGTAAATAAAGCAAATGACCAAAGGTTTTTTTAGAATAGTTTATAAGTAAATTTTCAATCGATTTATGGAATACGAGATAAATATATGAGAACAATTCTGTCTCAACTCATGTAAAACATACTTATAAGTAATTTTTAAAGCTATGCCAAACAGAATCAATACATCAAATGCATTATAGTGAAAATGACTAGAAGCCCTTGAGATCATGGGGAAAAAGAATACAAAATTTCTGCACTGAAATATAAAATTTCCAAGTAAAATACTTAAATAAGAAAAAATCAAAGATTAAATTTGGGAATCAAAGCATGTATTCAATTAATTTCCCAATCGTGATTGTTCATGAAACGTCTTTATAGATCATTTCTCTGTCTGCGTCCACTTCCTAACATACTTGCATTAACAAGTAAAACTCACGAACAAAAGTTGGGGTAGTAGCGGCACGTCCCTCTAGATCATACGTAAGAGATCCTGCACAACTTCCGTCATTGCTGGTCGGAACTCCGGTTCACGCTGTGGAATATAAAATTTGGAAGTTTTAGACTATTGGAAGGTAAGGTAAATTACATGCAGTAAAGCCTTGCAATTTTTCCCTTGTCTTTTTTTTTTTTTTTTGGGGGGGCGGGGTTAAAGGAGCAAATCTATGCACAAACTTTAACCTAATGTGCGCCAGACAAGACATCATAAATTTTTTTTCAAGTGCAAAAGTACCTATAAAGTTTCAAAAAAGTCAAACAAATGTTGACTGTTTAGAAAACATGTCAATCAAGAAAATGATGCAAAAACAAATATACCTATAAACTTTGACCTCATGTGCAAACATGTGCGCCAAAAAGGTGTAAAAATGCCAGTCCTAAACCCCAATGTGCGCCAAAGTCCAAAAACCCATTTATCAGGTAAGCACCTATGAATTTTCAAAATGATGCAAAAATGCCCCGGCCATTGAGAAAACATATCAGTCAAGAAAATGATGTAAAAACACATAAAATTCCCAAAATGGTGTGGGGATTGTTTGTTAAACAGTTGGCGTTGGTTGACTAAACAGTCGTAGTATTTTTACACCATTTTGAAAATTTCATATGTTATATCAACAAAGGAGAGAGAACCAGGAATTCATCCGACAAGAGAGCCAAGGTACACAGTCTATAAACCTCTACCTAGCCACGTCAATGTCACGAGATATTCCCTCTCTCCTGTAACTAACTCAATAGTCAGACTTGTTAATATACCATTTCTAGAAACAGATAAAACAACAGCAATAATCAGCAGAATAGTAAATATAAAATAACATATATCAATACTCACCGCCTAGCAAACAGAGCATATTTCTTTAAGTCAGAGGCAGATTTTACGCAAATTTTAACTACAACAACTGGTCTTTGTAGTAATCACAAGTTCAAGATAATATTCCATGAAAGGTCAGTAGAAGTGACACTTAATGTTGAATATACTCAGTCAAGTAGAGTGAAAAATGTATCAGATCAGCCATTTGACAATCGCAAAGTTGAAAGCAACATGCATCATCAGACCAACCAATTGTTATGCATTTTGGCAGCAAGTATGCAGTGGACTTGAGTCTTTCATTCAATAGAAAAAAGGATTTGGAGACTATAATAAATGATAACGCTTGTCCCTAGATTGTATAACACGAAATCAGACAACATATAATGCCCACAGCACCTTTCAAAGAGAGCATCCTAGCTTCTTTATTAATTTTTCTAAGTGGAAGAGCAGAGCAAGGTAGAAAAATACCTGTAGACATGAAGAAATGATGTCCGCAAAACGTGATAAGGACTTCATAGAATAAGCTCCATTTAAGGAGGGGTCAACCATTTTTGTTAATGCATCAATATCATGCAGTTGAGGAACTGCCCATCTGACCAGAAATTGCTCACCACGAGACCGTGACCTAAATCAATATGTATGGCATGTTACTTATGTCTAGTATTTTCAAGAAGCCAAGTTTTTGTGTAGTTGATTGATGGAAATGACTCCGACAACGGTATTATTTATTGAGAAAAGTAACAATCCACAGGGTATAACCTAATGGATAGCACCCAGAAGGAAACCTGTAGCCTAGTGCATTCGAGAGCACCACACTCCTCACAACACTCTAACCATATTCATCCCCCCTCAACGACCTCCCTGACAACAAATACCCTGCGTAACTAACTCCTAAATCTCTTTCCCACAATTAACCTCAACTACGCACCTAGCCCACTATCACATATTGGGCTTTTTCCCTACATATGTATACAACGGCCCGGGTTCAACAATACCCCCCCCCACAAAGCGAAGCCTTGTCCTCAAGGCGAAACTGAGGAAACTGGTGTTTAATGACATCATAATTTTCCCAAGTACTCTCTGTAGAGGGTAAATCTGCCCACTGAATAAGGAGTTCAATCTGGCCGTTAGTCAAAGTGCGATGCTTCAGAACAGCCGCTGGATACACTCGTAGCTCCATATCAGCAGTCAAGACCGACAGAAGTGGTTGTGAAGTGATACCGGTTGCCAGAGATTTCTTGAGGCAAGAAACATGGAAAACAGGGTGTAATCGAGCAGTGGTCGGCAGTTGCAGGCGATAAGCAGTCGCTCCTATCCTTTCCAGAACGGAGAAGGGGCCATAAAATCGTGGACTTAATTTTTCGTTAGGTCGTCGGGCTAGAGATTTATGGCGGTATGGTTGTAGCTTCACAAACACCTGATCTCCAACACTAAATTGTAGATCCCGGCGCTTTTTATCAGCTTGGACCTTCATGTACTGCTGTGAACGTTCCAGATTAGACTTGAGCTCAGCTAAAATGGAATTCCTAGTGCGTATCTGTTCATTGATCGCATCAACCGGGAGGATGGTTCTTGAAACTGATATAGGATAGGTGGGTCCTGTCCATACAATGCCTTAAACGGTGACATCCCAGTAGAGCGGTTATAAGTGGTATTGAACCAAAACTCAGCCCAACAGATCCAGTTAGACCAGGTCGATGGCTTACTAGCACAAAAGCACCGTAAGTAAGTCTCAAGACTCCGATTAACCACCTCTGTCTGGCCATCACTTTGAGGGTGATAACTAGAGCTAAATTTTAATGAAGTATCGGCAGCCTTGAATAATTCCTTCCAAAAATTGCTCAGGAAAAGCTGGTCCCGATCTGACACAATGGAGCGAGGAAAGCCATATAAACGCACTATCTCCTTAACAAATATATCAGCCACATCCCGAGCTGTGTATGGATGGAGCAGGGGAAGAAAGTGGGCGTACTTAGTAAAACGATCCACTACCACCAGTATGGTATCCACTCGCTGTGATTTGGGAAGGCCTGAGATAAAGTCCATAGATATGTCTGTCCAAACTCTATCTGGTATAGGGAGTGGTTACAGCAGACCTGCCGGACTGAGGGCCGAATATTTATTACGTTGGCACACCTCACAAGCCACCACATATTTTTGGATATCCCTACGCATGCCATCCCAATAGAAAAGGGTCGCTTCAACCGCTTGTATGTTCGTAAATATCCCGAGTGACCACCAATTGGCGAGTTGTGGAAGTCTTGCACCAGCGAAGGAATGCGAGTCGAAGATTTGGGAAGAACCAAGCGTCCATTAAAGAACAGGTGACCACCTTTGAGTGTATAACCCGCAGGAGCAGCTTGTCCAGTGACTAACAATTGAATAACGGCAGCGAGGGAAGAATCGTGGAGAACCTCATCGTCCAAGGAGGTAAAATCACTCGACTGTACAACCGAGATAGAATGCAATTCCGAAGAATCTCCCTTGCGTGATAGTGCATCAGCAACAGCATTGGTGGGACCCGGTTTATATTGAATTTGGAAATCAAAACCCAGTAATTTGGAAACCCAACTCTGTTGAGATTCATCCAAGATACGCTGATCCAATAAAAATTTGAGGGCTTTCTGATCGGTGCGGATGACAAAGGGACGGCCCACTAGATAATACCGCCATTTTCTCACTGCAAATACCATGGCCATCAACTCATGCTCATAAACTGAACATCGACGGTGCCGCGAGGATAAGGAGTGGCTATAATAAGCCAGAGGCCGGTCATCCTGTAGTAAAACAGCTCCTAACCCGGTCTCGGACGCATCTGTTTCCACCACAAATGGTTGAGAAAAATCAGGCAGGGATAGGACAGGGGTGGTGGTCATAGCTAATTTAAGTCGGTCAAAAGCATTCTGAGCCTCTGGTGTCCATTAAAACGCATTCTTCTTCAATAAGGCAGTCAGTGGCACGGCTATACTACCATAATGTCGAACAAAGCGTCGGTAGTAACCGGTGAGCCCCAAAAAACCCCGTAAACTCTTCAGTGTGGTCGGTACAGGCCATGACAACATGCTATCAATCTTAGAGGGATCAGCGTGGACACCCTTGCTGGATATAATGTGACCCAAATACTCCAGCTAAGACTGAGCAAAGGCGCATTTTTTCGTATTGATCACCAAGGAGTGCTGCTGCAGGATCTGGAAAGCAACTCTAAGGTGTTGCAAATGAGTTGTCCTGTCACTACTATAAACCAAGATGTCATCAAAAAAAGCAAGGACAAACTTCCGCAAATATTGTCTAAAAATGTCATTCATTAAGGATTGGAAGGTAGAGGGAGCATTTTTCAAACCGAAGGGCATGACCAGGAATTCATAATGGCCGTCATGCGTTCTGAAAGCTGTCTTCAACTCTTCCCCCTGCTTCATGCGAATCTGGTGATAACCGGATTTTAAGTCCAATTTGGAAAATATCTGGGCTCCTCCTAGCTCATCTAGCAGTTCTTCAATGGCTGGGATGGGAAACTTATCCTGGATGGTTATCTTATTTAAGGCCCTATAGTCCACACAGAAACGCCAACTACCATCCTTCTTTTTTACTAGCAGTACCGGGCTTGAAAAAGGACTCTTACTGGGGCGAATGATTCCAGCTGACAACATTTCTTGTACTAGCCGTTCAATTTCTGCCTTTTGATGGTGAGGGTATCGATAAGGTCTCACATTAGGCGGTAGGGCCCCTGGTTGTAAGTCAATGGTATGATCCACTGCCCGAGATGGTGGTAACCCATTCAGGGTTCTTTGCACTGCAGGGAACTCCCCCAACAACCTCTTAACATCCTCATCTGTCGGTGCCATTGAGATATCAGTCATCTTTAGTTCAGCAAATTCCACCCAAAAGACTTCCTCATCCCCTCTAGTTGACCGATAAAGGGAGTTGAACGATATGGGTGTTTTTTGTAGTGCCGGATTTCCTCTGAGACAGACCCACTCATCTCCCATGTCAATTTTCAGTGTTGATCGTTTCCAGCTCACTAATACTTCATCCAACGATGCCAACCAGTCAGCTCCCAAAATAATATCCGATCCACCAAGCTTAAACGGATACAAATGGTGAATGATATGGAGACCCTGAACCATGATCGAAACATCTCGGCATACTCCCCGCCCTTGTACATGGCGGGAATCCCCCACTTGCACAGTGAACGCGACACGTTGATTGAGGGGCAGAGACAGGGAGTTAACCAGATCCTAGTGGATAAAACTGAGTCGCTCCACAATCAATGAGGATAAGCACCTCCTTACCCAGAACTGTCCCCATGAGCTTTATAGTCTTTCCGCCAGTGAATCCCGCTTATGCATTCAAGGACAGAGACATCAGTTGGCCCTCTGTAGCAGCCACTTCACTTGGAGGTGACTCCAATCCTTCCGGAGGTTCGTGGTCAACCAGTGTTGGAGGAACGTTATCATTCTCGGCGTCTTCTGCCAATATCAATACCTGGAGTTGCTTCTTCTTGCAACGATGGCCGGGTTTGAACTTCTCGTCACATTTAAAACAGAGGCCGAGCTCTCGTCTTCTCTCAATCTCCGCGTCCGTAAACTTCTTCGGAACTATCTTACTTGTATAAGTCACTGGAATGGCTACCGATTTGGAAGACTCAGCAGCCTTGGGCTCCGAATTCGAACCAGCCGAATACGGAGAGGACGATTTGGGTGAGTCCGAAGGAGGAGAGGTCCGAGTAGGAGCCATTCGGCCGTCGCCCCCTTTTTCATCGGCCCAACTCCGCTGTGGCCCAATTCCTCGCGCATACGGTTGTTGGGTCATAACCCAGTTGCGCTCCTCCAGCCTTAACGCCATATCCATCAATTCGGCTAAGGAACTCAACTTCATCAAACGAAGGTCCGCCTTAATTTCTACTCGGAGTCCATTGAAGAATGCGGCAATTAGAACTTCATCGCCGCAATGATCTAGCGTCGCTGAAATCAACTCAAATCGCTCAATATAATCGGCTACCGAGCGAGTTTGCCGGAGCGCCATTAGCATCTCATAAGTGTTGCCATACTGTGAGGGATGAAATCGAAGGATCAGGTCTCGCTTAAGGTCCGGCCAGTTAGAAACCGATGAACGTGCTTCCTTCCACTGAAACCAATTTAAGGCTCGCCCCTCAAGACATAAAACTGCTGCATCCAGCTTGTCATTGTCTAACACCTTGTTGACCCTGAAGTAGCGTTCGATCTTAAAAATCCATCCCATAGGCTCCTCTCCTGAAAACAGGGGCATATCCAGTTTGCGAAATGCAGAATGTTCGGTGTCACCATTTCCGCTCTTGTCCTCGACGTCTATAATCTGAGTCCCCACATGGCTATTTTTTGATACGGTTGATTCTGGTGTGGACTGTTCCGCCATTCCTTGCCCCTTCTTCGATCGAAGCTCCGCTAGCACATCCTGGACCATCGATTTAAGAACCGCCATGTCGTCTGTAAGTTGCGTTACTCGTTCTTCATTCTGTGTCATACGAGTGTTCAAATCTTCCATCGTACGAGTATGAACCATGCCCCGTCGTCACCGCTCTGATACCTTTGATGGAAATGACTCCGACAACGGTATTATTTACTGAGAAAAGTAACAATCCACAGGGTATAACCTAATGGATAGCACCCAGAAGGAAACCTGTAGCCTAGTGCATTCGAGAGCACCACACTCCTCACAACACTCTAACCATATTCATCCCCCCTCAACGACCTCCCTGACAACAAATACCCTGCGTAACTAACTCCTAAATCTCTTTCCCACAATTACCCTCAGCGACGCACCTAGCCCACTATCACATATTGGGCTTTTTCCTTACATATGTATACAACGGCCTGGGTTCAACATTGATACAATAGAGGTACATAATAACTGACAACTAACCTGTCACAGGATTTTCGTCCAGTGAGGAGTTCTAGCATTACAACTCCAAAACTGAAGACATCACTCTGCTTTGTATAACTCCCAGTCTCAAATTCTGACGCACCATAACCATTCGCTGTTAGGAGGCGTCCTGACAACTGAGGGTAGACGCAACAGTGTTAGCCAGAAATTTAACAGAAGTAGAGGACAAGCCAGCAATTTTTGCAAATTATATTCAGTAGCTTGTTCTGAATAGTATCATCCCAGTAATGCATAAACAGTGTTACATTAAGGCCAAAAGTTTTTCTATGACATTATTATTAACCAACTCATTGGCAACATTAATGTGCACCTAGATAAGGGAAGTTCTAATAACCATAAAAACAAAAGGGAAAAGTTTAGGATAAAATGCCGTGGGCCTAATTCTTTGAGCACATCTCAGAGCATATATACACATCAAAGGGTTAATACAAAATAGCCACACTGTGGACCAACCTGTATGAGCTCTATTTTGAACATGTATTACTTTTTTTGTGGTTAACTGCTATTAAGAGGATTACCATCAGGAGCAATTTTCTTACAGTGCTAAATGCATAAATCCATTTTAACCCCACAAAAAAAAAAAAAAAGCATAAATCAATGCAACAAAGTTTAGAATAGGGGAAAACATAAAAGGGCAAAGCGAAATACCCAAGGGCATTTGTCCTATCAATGTTTCACTCAATAAGAAATCTAATGGGAAATAGTTAAAGGTCTTTAAGCAGTAGCGAAAAGGTAGATAACAACAGGAGGAAAAGTGGCAGAGTATCACGCGTGTAGGGAAAAGGCAGATAACAACCGTACAATAGGGAGGATATTTGAAATTTATCCCCAACATGAAGATTCTTTGGTACAAAAACCCCAATCTGTGGAACGCAATTTGCTGAAATTCATCTCATTGATTTTCATAACTGTCATTTCACAGTTTGACCAGAGAAAAAAAATTGATCCCCTGATTTTTTACTTCCACATCTATTCCATAATGTCCAAAAACTCCCAAAGTGTTCAACAACATTGGGAAGCATCCATTTACCATATGTTTCGTTCACAAACCCCAACTATAAATCATTTGACAATTTACAATTTAAAAAAAAAAAGAAAGAAAGAAAGCTTTTAAAGCCATGCCTGACCAGCAGATCCAGAAGATAGTAAAGGACCAAATCCACAATCAGAGACAAATACTTCAAGCTCAGTATTCAGTAGAACATTATTTGATTTTATATTTTGATGCACAATAGGTGGCTGGAAGCTCTCATGCAGATACCTGATTCATGGGGCAAAAAAAAAAAGAACTTCATCAATTCAAGGTTGTCCAGAAAATCATGAATGCCCAGCCTAATGTTGAGTCTGAAACATGACTACTATATTGGATTGAGAACCAAAGTTTCACTGAAAAAACACAACTTTCAAGTCATGTCATTAGGCCTTGGTCATTAGTGAAAGATGCAGAAGATATGTTTCAAACTTCCAAGGTAAGAAAAGGTTTACAGAGTTCCAGTGGTTAATAGAAATTAGCAAAACTTTTTCAAAGGAGGTCGCTAAACTCACTCTAAAGCCCTTGCAGCTCCAAGTGCCACCTGAATGCGTGCATTCCATGACAGTTTAGCATGGAGTTCATTATCTTCATGTAGTGCATCATGAAGAGTTCCAATGCTCAAGTAATTATACACAAGAAGTTGTTGACCATTCTCAGCACAGTAGCCCATAAGCTTCACAATGTTAGCATGTTGAATTTTGGAAATATTGGACACTAATTGAAGAAACTGTTCATGTCCTATAGAAGTAGCATCCAGTTTTCTGCAAGTGCAAAGTTGCTGCAAAGATTTATTTAGAAGACTTAGAGCCTCAGCCAATTAAGAATGTGAAACAAGGAGAAAAATAATATGTCAAGCAAGCAGGGAAAATGCTCATTTAACAATGTTTGGAAAATAATAATCTCCACAGAAAGTGAATAACTTTTGGAGGAGCCTTAACCTTCCAGAGAGCCTTCCACATTCCATCGCCTGCTTTATAAGAGCAAGCCGGGACCTCCTTAACAGTAGCCGACATCACCTCTCTGGCTACCTTATAACCCATCTTCACAGAGTAAATGCCATCCCTACACCCTATCCATACATACCTATCTTCATCTTCAATTATAGGGATTCGTACTCTGCCCATAAGCTCCTTATCTTCACTTGACAGCCATTGATCCACCTTGTCAAAGCACCATTTCCTCTCCACAATAATATCAGCAACCTTTATCTCCTTCATCTCATTAGTCAAAACCCTTTGCCTCAGCTTATAACCATCAGCATCAGGTAACCATTTGTCCTCAAACAGGCTCACTTTATCACCTTTATTTATTCTCCAAACCAACTTCTCTCCCAATAGTTGCCTACCATCCAGGATGCTTGACCAGCACCAAGAAGCTTTATTTCCTTTCTCAGCATGCATAAAGTCTTTATCATGGAAATAAAGACCCTTCAGAATCTTGCTCCACAAATCATCTTGATTCTAACAAAGCCTCCAAGCGGTTTTGGCCAGTAAAGCGTCATTAAACTTCATGAAGTCTCGGAACCCCATTCCTCCCTTCCCTTTTCTTTACACATATAATTCCAGGATTTCCAATGTATCCTTCCCTCTTCCTCCTTCTATCCCCACCAAAAACCAGCCACCAACTTATCAAATTCCATACACACCTTCTTAGGAAATTTAAAGCAGGACATAGGAAATACAGGAATTGAATTTGCCACTACCTTCACCATAATCTCCCTTCCTGCGAAAGTTAACAACTTTGCTTCCACCCCTGCACCTTCAAACACATCCTATTCTTCACAAACTTCAAGGCTTCTGACTTTGATTTGCCCCAAACCACTGGTAAACCCAGATATCTACCAGGATCAACTAAAGCTTTTATTCCCAGTAACTCGAAGGCCTCTTGCTTCACACGATCAACCGTATTTTTAGAAAAGAAAATGCAAGACTTATCTAGATTGATAGTTTGTCCAGAAGCTTGAGAATATACCTTCAAAATCTCCATAAGCCTTTTGCAATTATTTCCTCTGGCATTAATAAAGAAGAGTGAGTCGTCAGCGAAAAAACAATGAGATAGAATGGGGCAGTGTTTCGCGAGTTTTATCCCTTCCAGCAATCTCTTCTCCACATGCCATTGTATCATCAAGGAGAGTGCATCTGCTGCAATTATAAACAAGAAGAGGGATAAGGGATCTCCTTGACAAATTCCTCTCTTCATCTCAATTTCTGCAATTTTCTTCCCTCCTACTACAAGATTCAGCTGCACAAATTGCACACATTCCATAATCCAGTTAAGCCACTTCTCACTGAACCCCATCTTTCTCATAACCTCTTCAATGAATCTCCACTCCAATCTGCCATAAGCCTTATTCATATCTACTTTCACAGCCATTTCATACTTCCTACCTTTCTTCTTGTTTTTCAGGTAGTGGTATGCCTCGTGAGCTATAATAATATTGTCCTGAATCAACCTTCCTTCTATAAAGGCTCTCTGATTTTGCGATATGATCCTAGCCAACACAGGTTTCATTCTATTGGCTAAGATTTTAGAAATGATTTTGTAAGCAAAATTGCAAAGGCCTATCGGCCTAAACTGTCCCACGCTCTCAGCATTATCAACTTTCGGTATAAGCACCACATTTGTTTTATTCAAAGTTTCCAAACTCACATTATTATTGAAAAAATCAAAGACCATTTCAGTTACCTCCTTCTCTATAACTGACCAAGCAGAATGATAGAACATTCCAGAGAAGCCATCAGGGCCTGGTGCTTTTGCTCCACCCAATTGGAAGGCTGCTCGCTTGATTTCTTCTTTCGTAACTATCTTTTCAAGTCCTGCATTATCTTCCACTGTAACCAGCTTTTGTACAAAGCTTAACACCACTTCCAGATTCCTGCAACCATCTGAGGAAAACAGCTTCTTATAAAAAGCTAATAAAGGAATCATTAATCTCCTCTTCACTTTCCATCCATCTCCCACCTTCGCCTCTCAGCTTTACAACTTTGTTTCTTGCTCGTCTTTGAACAACACTAGAGTGGAAAAACCTAGTGTTTCTGTCTCCAGCATCCAGCCATTGTACCCTTGATCTTTGCCACCAATATAGTTCTTCCCTATTCCATGCCTCTTCGATTTGACTAATTAGTTCCTCCATTTCTTCTCTCTTGGCTACAGTATAATCCCTCTTCTACACTCTTCCAGTCTTGAAGTCAATCTTTCTACAGTTCTTCGAGCATTCGGGCAAAGTCTCTTCCCCAAGCAGAAAGAATTCTTTTACAGTTCTCAAGTCTACAAACCAGCTCCTCTACCTTGTTTCTTCCCCCCATAGTATTCTGCATCCATCCCTCCTTAACTGTAGTTAGATAATCCTCATGCTCTAACCATATGGCTTCAAACCTGAACATTTTTTGGCCCCTTTCATGCTTATATTCACAGTCAATAGCAAGCATATGATGATCTGAACCCAAAGGCTCTATATGCAACACCAGAGCTGACTGAAAAACCTCTCTAAATTCCACATTCCCATAGCTCTATCAATCCTCTCCTTCACATGAGCTTCACCCAGTCTTTGGTTGCACCAAAGTAAAGCGAGCACCAGAGTAGTTCAAATCCATTAGAGCACAATCTGACATCTTACTCTGGAAATTCATTATTCTTCTCGTATCAACCGGTCTGCTCCCATCTTTTCATATACTGAGGCCGTATCATTAAAGTCCCCCATACACAACCACGTACCCCGGATTCTGCTCGCTATACTCCTCATCTTCCTCCAAACCTCTAATTTTTCTTCAACTCTAGGCGCACCATAAACAAAAGTAACATAATTTAGCACCTTATGCACAGTAGAGTGCATACTCGTGTGGATAATATTTTTTGAATAGTGCCAAATATTTATTGTTATATCCTTCCTCCACTAAAGAGCTAGGCCACCACTCCTTCCTACCGATTCAACATACACATCTTCGTCCATCCTACATCTTTTCTTAATCCTTTTCATACCTGCTTCCATCATTCTGGTTTCCATTAGGAAGATGACTGAGGGATTTTTCTTCAAATTTTCCTCCCTCAGTTTTTTCACTGTCAAGGCCCTTCCCAAACCTTGAC